TTATAAAGCAAGCAAACTAGTTATATCTTTGAAGGTTCTATTCCAAGTGCACTAATTTTAAGAACAAAATGCAGCATACATAAGATTAAGCATTATACATCACAAAAATGGAAGGTGGGTGAGACAGGCTGGAGTTCGGTCTTCGTTATTTAGGTGTAAAATCAAAATTCGAAGTAGATACCGTTGCTTTGAAGCTTTCAACACTGATAAACATCAATGAGCTGCAACATGCTCAATTCTCTACATGTGTGATATCTGTTACCATTCGAAAAAAATATCAAATATGTATATATACACCATTATCAGGAGAAGAAGGTAGTCTCATCCTTTTTAATATGTTTCAACATTACAATATCATGGTCCCGAGTAAGTGTTTCTTCTCTTGCTCTTAAACCCTTTGCCCCTTTTCCTCTGCCCTTTGCGTCTCAAAATCATCATCACCATAACCGCCACAAAACCAATAATCGAAAACGCCCAGAGCCCGATTATCCAAAATCTCATAGACGTGAACGACTGATTAGTCTCTTCGGGTTGGGATAATTCTTCTGAATTGTTGCTCTTCACATCCGACAAATGCATTATTGGATCAATCTCCTCGACGTTCCCCATTTTCCTAGTTGCTGTTATTACTTCACTTTCCACTTCACTTCCCACCTCACGAGCTGGCGATTTGGGAGGATGATTAACAGTCTTTCGAGCTGGGCTGGACAGTGAAGGAGGATTAGGGGCTCTTCGAACTGGAGCAGGTAAGGAGTTGGGGTCAGGGCATTTTTTTCTCTCATAATAATGGTCGAGGGCCTCGTTCAGAGATCTCGCACATTCTATACTGAGCAAGTCACGGCTTAGTGAATCCTCATCTGATCTGTTGAGAGTTGATTGGTCGGGAGGGTCTGGGAACTTGGCCCAGCATTTGTTGGCTATGTCCATGTGTCTCCACTTGGCCTTATCGAAACTCCAGTTTCCAACCCTAAATTCCAATCCGTAGTGGAATACTCTATACTGGATGCCTGGAACAGGCACGTATCCTGGATATATCAATATCTCTTTGCTTATGACATGCCGCAAATTCATCTACATTGAGAAATATAAAATAAGTTGTTAAACCATTACATGCACAACATCAACAATGAATTATACTGATTACGCACATCACAATTAGCTCGTCTGCAGGATCAAGTAAAACGAAAAAGATAAATGGTATGTGTTTGTGAAATAAAGATGGTTATTGCTTTTAGTTAAACCCTTTAAACAACAGTTAATTAGGCATGAATTACCTCTGCTGCAGCAAAGGAGTAGCCATACATCTCACTAATCCAACCAGCCTCGTAAATATCTCCAGTAAAGACTTTTGCCCAGTGGCCCACATCAGCCCTGACTTCCTCGGTTTTATGCAGCCAAAGCATTGCAAATCTCTTGAGATCCCTTATATGCATTATGATTACACCACCAACCTTGTTGCAAGCACCTGGATTGCGAGTGTGGATCTTTGCAAGCTCATTGTCACATCCAATGAGATAGCTGCCATTGTGCAAAACAAACAAACAAACAAAGAAAATAAAACATTTGTCCCATTGCACTCCGTACGCGAAATTCAGTTAAGCATTTATACACTTCCAGTGAGGAATAAAGAATCTCACTCATAAGGAGTGGAAACAGGTCTGCCCTTAGCCGCATTGAACTCCCAAGGCGTAACTGGTCCTCTCATTATCATGTCAGCATCCAGAATCACTATGTATTCTGCATCGGTTTTCACATGGTTGACCCAATGCAGCACGGCAGCTGGTTTATTAATAGCTGGATACCTGAAATGACCCCCCAAAAAATATTAGCTTATCATGTGCTGTTAGCAATAACTCATATGCACTGATGTGAGAAAAGAGAAACATATAAGGTGTAGGAAAAACATATTGTGATGGTGTGAATTAATCAATTTTCCTTTAAATTTCAACTTTTTTTTTTCGTCTCATTTGTGATGGTCTAGAAAAAAACATAAAACTGGATTGTAAGAGGTTAAGGAGGGCATGTTACCAATCTCCAGTCAAAGGATGCCGACTCATAGACGGGACATAATGAGTGGGTGCTAGATCATGTCCTTTGTATTCCTTCAAATCCTCATCTGTACAACTCAACAGCCTCGTGATCTCCCCTGGCTGGCCACTCTGGTGAAAACTGTGAACGAGCCCCAGGGTCTGCCAATCAAAATAAGGGGTGCATTCAGTAGAGAAAATGGTATGTATTTTTGGATGCCACTTTTCTGGCTCCCCAACATCTTGCTTTTTTCCCTCAGTAACTTCCATCATTTGACGGCTTTTCGGAGACAGCTGTTTCGGTTGAGTTAGTTCTGCAAAAGTTTTGCTCTTCAAGAAACTCAGGTATTTGGACCACTTGGGCTTGGGGCAACCATGCGCAGCATGATGCAGTAATAGACCTTCGTTTAGGGTGTCCATGCATTCTATATTCAGAAACAGTGCCCTCCTCTTGTTTGGATCAGCTTCCATTTCTTTCACCTGAAATAATAATAATAATAATAAAATAATAATAATAATAATAATAATAATAATAATAATAATAATAATAGTAATAATAATAATAATAATAATAATAATATATTTATGCATATCAAACCAAGGCATGTTGAAAATTGGTTCTATCCAAGTAGGAAGAAATTATACAAGCATGACAGCATTTTGGAGCAAAAGGATTAATTCCAAACAGCAACATATCGATTTACCTCTTTAGGGTAAGGAGGTTCGGGAAAGAGGCGTCCACAGTCATACACAATGTTGTCTTCATGATGATCTAATTTACTGAAGGACCAATTTCCAACACTAAAAGGCAATCCGTAGTGCAAAAGAATGGGTTCAATACCCTCTCGAGGAGTATAGCCAGGATAAATCATCAAGTTATCAGTTATCTTGTGGCGAAGTCCCACCTGGCGAAAGCAAGCAGCTAGGCAAACACATTAGGCAAATCATAAATGTAAATCTGGAATAAACAGTATCTTTTTATATGCATATAAGGATAGTGAGCTAACAAATTCCGAATCGTAAAAAGGAGGTTCACTAAACCACGATTCTTTTATATATGCTTTTCAAAGGTCATATAGACACTTTATTTAAGACTTTTACTTTAAACTCTTGAATATTTTATTAGCCTACCATTCATGCCGACTTATCATATATAAAAAAATATTGAGGGATATGAGATGCTTCTATTAAGTAAATGATACCTCTGCAGCACCAAATGAGTAGCCATACATTTCACTAATCCACCCTGTCCCGTAAATATCACCAGTGTAATTTGTAGCCCAGTGATCTTTATCTCCCCTTACTTCTTCAGTTTTTGACAGCCACAAGGGTGCCAAAGCTCGAAGATCGTCAATATGCATTGCTAAAAGCCCACCAACCTTGTCACAGAATTCAGGATGCTGAGTGTGCAGCTTAGCAAGAACATTGTCACATCCAACCAAGTACCTGCCCAAGAAGTAAGATATTTTTGGAATATTCTCAGGGTAAAGGTCACATAACTAACATGGAACAAATCATTTCTTAGCAATATTCTTTTCTCAGAGGAGTTATTTTTTTTTTCAGAAGAAAATAATGAAAAGTAAACTTGCCTTCTAATATCTATGCATCATCTACTTACGAAACAAATAAACACAAAAGTTCTTAAGCAATCCAGATTCCCGTAGGATAAAAAGGATATTAGAAGTACATGCAGATAAGAAATAATTACCCATAATATGCAGCTACAGGCTTGCCTTTCTCTGCTCCAAGTTCCCATGGTATGATTGGACCTCGAATGATCATATCAGCATCCAGAATCACTACCCAATCAACATTATCTGCATCTTTGCTATGTTTAAGCCAGTGGACTACACCAGCCGGTTTATTGATGGCTGGATACCTGCCATAAACCAGGAAAATCGTACACTAAAACTTACAATGAGAAAAAGATGCATGCTTAAAAATGACAATGATACCATACCCTCTAACTGAAATATTATCTACAGTGATGAAATTTCAATTCTTGAATCCACATACATACAAGATCTAAAAGGCAAAGAAAATTCATAAAGCTCTCAACTTAATTCCCAAAGTCAAGAACTGTATCTCATAACAATCGAGACAAACAATCCTACTATCATTCTTTAGTTTTCATTACTTTTACATATGTCAAAATAATATAGCAACATTTCATTTCTGACAGTCCCTTCATTTGGGTATGTATAGAAATGGTCGATTCCATCTATCCGAATCGAAAAGAAGATTGGTTTCACTTATGGAACTTCATTCTCTACAATCCATATGAAGCATTTCTATCGAAAAATTCCGGTCGCCAACAAGAATACCCAATTAACCATCAATTAGGATAGAATCATAAGCTAATGCAGGACTCGATCATTTCAGAGGAATCGTGACAATAATGACATTCATATACATTTGCATACCCACCAATCACCAGTCTTGGGGTGCCTGCTCATGGATGGCACTTCAAGGGTTGGCGCCAAGTCCATGCCTTTATAGCCCTCCTTCTCTTCCTCGGTACAGCTGAGCAGCCGGGTAATCGGGCCGGGCTGTTTGGCCTTGCGGTAGCTGTGCATGAGGCCAACCGTTTGCCAATCGAAGTAATTATTACACTCTACCGAAAACAGCGTGTGGATCCTATACGGCGCCGTCCCGGCCACTGCCCCGCGGCCCGATTCCTGCCCGGTGGCGACGCTCGTCCACAGGCCCGCCGCCGCAACAGCCACGGCGAATACGAACAGAAAATCTCTTACAGCCATTGTCACATAGCCGAGAGCTAAAACGAGCTTTCACTTAAACGATCTGAAATGCGGGTTTTCGTCAAAGGTCAGCTTTTCTTCCGGTGATCGTTAATTTGTTTCGAATTGGCAGAGATACGACAAGATAGTAAATGGAATAATTAAATTGGGTTGATGAAATATTTGACTTTATAATTTGGTTGACTTCCTATTGAAATAAAAGAAATATTATAAACATTATATTAATATTTATATAAAATAAAAATCAAATTCCATCGACTTATTGTAAATTGTGCACTTCACGAGTTTATATATAAATAAAGTGGTATTCATTTTAAATTTATTTTGTGATAATTATCACAATAAAATTCTGATTTTTCGTATTAATTACGAATTACTAGAACTTATTATTCTTTTGGTAATCAACATATACTAGTAATCAACACGTGCATTTGTACGGAGGAAAATACTTAATTTACACGGAGGAGAGTACTTAGAAGAGTTAACAATTTAAAAAAAAAAAATACAAAATCATGATTTATTAAAAAAAAATGAATTATGAAAATAATTCTAAATATTATTAAACACTTCTTTGTATACAACATTCAAAGTTTTCCTATCGTCGAAATCACCATCACCACATATCATTATCTTCAAACTCTTCCGATTTGTAACTCTAGAAAGAGTCACATACAACTGTCCATGATTAAAACAGGGTTCTTCAAGATTAAACCGAAGTGTGAGAGAGACTGGCCTTGACTCTTGTTGATCGTCATAGCATATGAGACCATGATAGGAAACTGTCGGCGCTGAAACTTGAACGATACCCTCAAATCCGAAGGAATGATCGTGAGCCTTGGAATAAGAACCTTATCACCAGCTCTAGCATCTGTTAAAATGTTGCACTCGAGAACATAGTTGCTTAGTTTAGTAATAACCAAACGCACACCGTTGCACTACCCCATTGAATGATCAATGTTCCTCAATAGCATCACTGGAGTGCCAACCTTCAAGTACAATTTATGATTGGGAAGTCCCGAGTACTTAATCCCATTCAGAAATTCAGGCGTATGAAGATCTTGAAGAGAGTCATATCCAGCATCTGACTTGCATGCGGTGTCCGAAATCAAATAAGTCCTCGCCTCGGATGAGTTCAATGAGCTCATATACTCGTTAACGGACTCAACCACGTCAAGTGTGGGAGCGAGTATAGCTCTGTCCTTCAAATAGCTAAGATCGTCGCCTGAACTCCTAAACATTGGGTAGGTACTCTCAACAATAGTAGCAATAGGATCCCCTTGTGATTTCAGATTAATATCATCGGGAATCTCAATATCGGCACATCCGTCGTTCGATCCACCGAGTGTTCCGTCTCCAATGTTTGCAAGCCACTCCGAGAAATGCTTCAGCTTATCGTACTCATTACCCGCACTAAGGCTTCGAAGCCTCATATTTCGAGTCAGTCTCAGAACGATACAATCCCGCCACAACTTGGATGAATTGATCGTGGCATTCGCTATGTCACTTCGACTGCCTTTAGGAACAACATGAAGTATCTGCCTAAAATCCCCACCAAATATGACGGATTTGCCACCAAAAGGGAGATTTTTCCTCGATGGATCCACTACTTGCATTATGGCTCGCAAGGTATTGTCAACCGCCTGAAAGCAATACTTATTCATCATAGGGGCTTCATCCCAAATGATCAAGCGACATCGTATAATCAATTCCGCCAAAGGACTTTGCTGGCTAATGTCACATGTAGACCCTTCCGTTGGGTTTAATGGGATTTTGAACCGAGAATGCGCAATGCGTCCGCCGGGCAGCAAAAGCGAGCAATACCGCTCGATGCAACGTTCAAAACAATTTCACCCTTGGACCTCAAAGCAGAGGACAATGCCCTCCAGACATATGTTTTACCAGTGCCGCCGTAGCCATAAACAAAGAATACGCGGCCGTGGTCGCGAGAAACCGACTCCATTATAAAGTCATAAACATTGTGCTGCTCATCGGTCATATTGCCATCCAACTCACTATTCTCAATAGCCAATGCACGGCGATCGTAATTCAACTCGTCCATCACAAGTCTGTTAGTGGATGCCTCGTTACGATTGAGATTAGGAGAAGGCATGGTACCATATTCACGTAAACTCGTCCCACGCCTACGCAAAATTTTTTTGACCTCCGCCAAAGCGAGATTCTTTACTTCATTGTCGCTCATCACCAAATCTGACAAGACAATAATAAAATAGAAGTTAAGATAATAATTAATAAGACAACAAACATGAGAAGATAAGAATAACTTAAACAATTACCTGGGTGACGTAAAATTCTACGTCGATTATATAGAATGTCATCCGAGAGGTAAGGCCAACAGGATTCCCAAACAAACTCAGGACGACCAAGAGTATCAGAAGATAGAAGAATAGCAAATAGGCTCTTCAAACTGTGTGCGCTGGACCATTTGCTCGCCTCAATAATTCCTTCAATATACTCCATGTTGTCCTCCACAAGACCGAGGACAAAACAGGCATTGCGATACGAATCGCATTGGACGCCGTCCAACTGCATATAGTCACGATGGCAAGTTGCTCCTCGAACAACACCGAGAAGACACCTCAAGTAGTAAATATCTTCAGCGCTGGGCATGACAAAGTACAAATGGGCTATATGATCTTTTCCTTTTCTGGGCTCTCAACTCTTCGTCTTCGGATGCCACGTAAATTTAGTAGGAGCCTCAACGTATGTCAGCTCCCTCGCTTTGGGATACTTCTTGTTGGCTTCCATCCAAGACAAAAACTTACTCCTCGCATTTTTATTGTTATCAACCACATCCTCGATAGAATCTTCAAGGCAAGGATGCTCGTTCTCGAGATGAAAGTTCAAGCGCTCAACTGATGGATGCTTGTACTGAATCTCAAAATCCAACAACCGCCACGCAGCCTCACAAGATTAAACATATCTTCAATCATAATACATCTTTACCTTATCAATCGGTGTGCTTGAGGACTCATCGCCATTGGACTCATAGAGGGTGACAGTAACACGATCGTTGCCCTTATTCACGTATTTGAACAAATACTTGATTGACCTTGACTGATTGCACCACTCCATGTTTATGTGTGCACCGTACTTAAGCAGCAATTTCCTGTTATGAGGCACCACATATCGGTTATCCAGTGGAACGCCGTTCTTTTATATGGTCCAACCATTGTCACGACGCATGTAGCGTGGATAGCCTTCATCATCAAATGTGGTGGTTTCGGTGAACTTCTTAGGAAAATTCTTCGTGCAACAATCATTCGCCCTGCACGGATTTCGGACAAACGCTTCCACAGGGACCATGCATCATATGATCTCTAACAGCGGCACAGTAAAATGGATCGGTGGCCTCATCCGGTATCTCGGCGGAAATTATTTTATCTATGCCATCGGTGGTCTGTATCTTGTGTTCTTTGGCCAGGAATAGCAAGATATGCGCATGCAGAAGGCCACGCTTCTGAAATTCAATCGTATATACCGTTGTAATAAAAACATTATTAGGTCAAAGACGATAAAAAAATAGTATTAAAAAACAGATACTAACTCAAAATGAATTTCATTAAATACATGCGTTCACATCACCAAACATTTTCTTATGTCGAAGATCGTGCATCAATGCATCCAATTTGGCCTTAAACACACAACATATTATATCGGGACGATCCTCGGGATTGAGATTCTTCTCGACTAAGAAGCGACTGATTTCTGGCCACTTCGGGTTGCAAGTGAATGTTATGAATATATCGGGATAGCCTGTCCAACGACAAATGGCCATGGCATCTTGGTAGTTCTGAATCATGTATCTCGCCCTACCAGTAAAGGATGACGGAAGTATAATCCGTTTTCCTTGAGAATCAGGATCGGTGTCACCACGCAACACAACATCTAAGAGACGACTATACAATTCAGTTCTCAATTTATCCTGGTTGATATGGATGTATCTAAGTAGAGCTCCCTCAACCTTCGTATAAGCATCGACAACAAATTGTTGATATAACCTCTGAGCCAAAAGGATTGCCGATAATTCGTGGTTACGATCGTGCATTCTATATTTTAAGAACTCCAGCAGACCGATAAATTTTCTCGATCTATCCATAATCACTATTAGGGGAGAGAAAGGAATGTCCTCCCGATAACCATCCTCGCCATATGGAAAAAGAACAGGATAATGGAGAGCCAAGTACGAAGCGTTCAACTCATTGATCCGCTGCAGACGCCCACTTCGATTTTCTATGATGATATCCTGGTTACACATAGCAACATCGAAATCGCCAACAACTAAGGCAACAACTTCCAAAGTGGACGGTAAATTGTACCGCCGACCATCCTTGTTCCTTTTACCGATAAGGCGCATCTTAACTTTTTAGCGCCCCTTGACTCAGCCCTGCGAGTGTTATGGAACATAACCATTCGGCCGATGATATCTACAAAATAAAAGTAATAATTTAATGATTATGCATAATAAGTTTTGTTTGTACATTGTGAATAATAATAATTAAAAAAAAATACACCTATGAGCAATGTAGGTTTGAAGGCCTTCTTATCGATCAAGTCTCCAATTTTTTTGAATTTGAAGATTGATTGATGAAAGCTTTCATTTGTAGTCTCAACCAATTCAGTCCTTTGATAAAATAGAAATTTGCAGCTGTTTGGAGTGGTTTTAAATTGGTTGGTGTCTTTCACGACTTTGTACCACGTAATCGCATATAAACGTCCTTCTTCGAGATGAAGTTCGTTGAATTTTTTGAATAAAACTCCAGGTGTCGTGGCATAAAATCGGTATCTCTATGTAAATAAATGTTCAAAATAATTATGAGTAATAAGTATGACATATTGTTTCTTAATATTGATAATAAATTAAAAACTTACTTCAAAATCGTGAAATACGAACTCCAATGATGAAATATTTGTCAGGTCGTCACTTAGCACTGTCAAATGGGCCGGTCCGGCCCGACCCGCGCTGGCCCGCGGTCCAAATG